ATATATATATATATATTATGACTCAATCTCGTAAATAAAATTAAGAATCTCCTATCCATCAAAATGTCTTCATTCGTACTTCCATCACTTATGTTATTTTCTCTTAGTTGATGTCTCGCTTTATGTTTGGATTGTTAGTGATGGAGGAGATGATGGTGTTGACAATCTTAATAGCTTGCTTAACATTTGTTCCCTCAAGCTGATGAGAGACTATTCAATTTTTTTTATAATCTCCTCTCATAGTTGTAGATTCAGCTTTATATAATCACCAAAGATATCTGATAGAATTTTCCGTAAAAATTAGGGCCAAAAAAATATTTTATTTCTTCAAAGCAAACAACACAATCGCAAACATATAAAATAAGGATAAACACCTGCAATTTGAGAGTTGGCGATCTCTCCCAATTCCTACAATTTGAGAAATAGAAAACCTTTTCTAAACCTTAAACCTAAAACTTTCAACAATAACCTTATACATAACCCTAACCTTATAAATAATAAAAAGTCTACACTGCCCTTAGGTTAATAGAAGACAAAATTGCCTGTAGGCTAGGCACTGGCGTAATAGTATCCTTCTCATTCCTTCTAATCATTAGAAATTGCCTATATGTTGGGACTTATATATGCTTCCAACTTTACCATGTATTTGTTTAAAATTTGGATGATAAGATTTATGATTTTTTTAATGAGGAATTGAGAGATAATGAGTGTATTTCTTACTCTATTCTAGGATAAAATATTGCATACTTATAAAGTATGTACTTATATTGGAGGATGAAGTGACCACGTCACATATAAGTGAAATTATGGTGACGTGGCCAATCCATCCACTCTTATAAGCACATACTTACAAAGTATGCAATATTTTCTCCTAAATATGTACTTACAAGGGTGGATAAAGTGGTCACATCACAAATAAGTGAAATTATGGTGACGTGATCACTCCATCCACCCTTTTAAGTATATACTTGCAAACTATGTAATATTTTTTCCTATCCTAGATGTGAGAGGGTGGTGACCGACGAGGGGAGGGGGAGTGGGAACGTGTGTATATGTTTCCAATTTTAAGTGCTTGCCACACAATTTCTAAGCATTTACATATCTAGCACCTAAAATTTAGTTTTAACATACATGCCACCTTATATATGAAAATTTTTATTTCACACTATAAAGGCTAAAATGGTACGTATGTAAATGTCCCAATTTATTTACCCAGATTTTTACTTATTCCACTCATGAGATCGATTGTTGCTCCAATTTCTGAAATCAGCCGCTTTGATTTACTTATTTTGATAGGTCTCCTCGTGCTCATCGATCAAGGAGTCCTCCCAGGAGGAGATATCCATGAGGACGGCAAGCCAAAAAATGCTTAGGAAGATGTTGGTGAGATGAATCATCAATTTGTGCTGTTTCATTTGGTTTTTGAGTGCCATGAAATTACTGTTTTGTTCACTTCTTGATGGAGTGCTGTATCCTTCTCCAGTTCCTGCCTGCAATATTTAAAAATTCTGAGAATTTTCTTTTTTTTATTTTCAGATTATTTAAATGAATGATGCCTCTTGATAATGTGATTTTTTTTTCCCATCATTACTGAATACTCTTAGCATTTAATTTCTATCACTAAGGGTGTGTTTGGGGCAGTCTGTGCTTATCCAAACAAGCAGTTTATCCTGAAACGTGGCTCGCGGGGTTCGACCCGTGACCTGCATTTAGTGTAAAAACATAACCGCGTTTTCAGATAAGCTGGAGAAACGCGCAATCCAAACGGTTCAATATTTATTATTATTTCTTCGGGGAGAAAGAGCACAAGAATCCAGCATCTTGGGATTCAGAATGCGGTTCAATATTTATTGAGATGTTCAATTTAAATTCTAAGCATTATATAAGTGGCATTTACATACATACCACACTTTTTATGTATTTACAAATATAGTACCTAAACATTTATATTTACATGAATACCGCTCAAATTTTGAGCATCGCATCAAAAATATCACCATCACTATCAAGTGAATTACATTCTTCATGCATGGATTTATGATGCCAAAGTGATTTCGGTGTAAGTATCGAACACCGGGTGTTTGATTATGCCTCGAACAATTTTTTAAATTTTGATACACATTTATTGTAACATTATTGTTTCTATTATAATTTGGTCTATGTGGGATGACTATTACCATGTAAGTACATTGTGAAATTGCTGAAGTATAATTAAAAAATAGGATAATTTACATAAACACAATACAAATCTTAGTTATTTGCATATCTAACACAAACTTTCATATTTATTTTCATAACATTTAAATTTTTAATTAAAGTTATTTATTCCACTAAACTTCTAGATCATATATACTGCTATATAATTATTTTTTCATGATAGAGAGTATGATAGGTTGGGTTATAGTGGTGACCCATCTTAGTATATATATATATATATATTATTAACTTTGTTTTTATCATCTATTAATTTTATTAGAAGCCATTTGTTTCATATTAGCTACTATGGGTATGATAAAAATACTCTAAATTCTATCTCATAGTAAACATATGAAAGTAATTTCAACCTTATAATAATTACATTAAAACTTCTTTAAATTATTTATAATTTATAAATTATTTGTAATTTATAAATTATTTATAATTTATCTAATAGAGAATTACTATAAATATAAAAATTCATACACAACACAAAATTTCTAGGTCGCTGATTTTTGTTCTTTTAACAATTATTTGCTACTTTTGATAAGGAAAAATAAATGCAAAAGAAATAATTTTAACACAAAAACAATAAATTTATATTAAAAAAAACAGCTAAAATTCAAACAATACCAAAGTGAATTGAAATCCACAATTTAGTGTAAAATTATAATATATTGAAAGTGATTAAAATAATATGCTCTAAAGCATATATTTGAAATTATAATAAGAAAAATATGGAAAGGAAATAATTTGCTAAAGGTAACCACATATACAGTGATGATCTCACCCTAAATGAATGATGAATTTATATATTTTTAATTGAAGAACTAATTGATCTTTTTTATAAGTTTGAAAAATCCAAGTTTATAATTGCAAAGCTTAACATATGCTTCATCAAGAAGATAAGAAAATGAAGTCCTTTTGTAGCTCAGGGTTTGGTTGAAATGAATGTTTCTTAAAAATTTTCTAATGTTATTTGGATGGGATCTGAGAAACATTGCTATGCTCGAATTATGGAATGAGAAAATGTTCCTCTCTTTTGTTCCCACTATAAGATTCAGGGTCATACCCCTACTCCATTCTTTGTTTTACATCCAAATCTTAAGCCTCATAGCCCTAAGTTCAAAATGATACCCCCAATAGACCTATGCTGATATGGCTAAGCTTAGTTCTTTTACTAGATTAAATGATGAAGTTATGAATCCTTCTTTGAATAATTTTGTTGTGAATGCGACCATAAATCATCCTTTGGCTGTGCAGGAAGATAATAAAAATTAATATTTGTTGTTTCTCCCACTAAAGGTGACAAATACATAGATTTTCTTATTGAAAATCTCCATCATAATCCTTCTATTAATGTTAAGGAAGCTTAAAAAAGTAACACTAGCTCAGTTAATTTTTTATCACATCTATTAATGATAAATATAGGGACAATGATATTGAGTTGATATTTTCTTCTTATGTTAATGAAACTACCTATAATAATTTAACTTGATGCACTCTCTTGCCCTTCTATTTCTAAAGCAAAATATAGAATTTCTTAGTTTAATGGGTTCATCTATTATTCATGTGCCTAAATTTGTTGAACTGGAGAAGGAGAAGGGTAAAAATTTTATCTCAAATATTTTTGAAAAAAATTATTATGCTTATTGCTTCTATTGTTGATGATATTCCTTCTCATTATAAGGCTGATTTAGAAGATGATAATTGTGAATTCAAAATGGTCACACAAAAAGAGCAGAGGAGGCAATGATAGTTTGGCTTCGAATTATATGGCTTATAAATCCAAAGGTAACTTTTCACCTTCTTAATTTTCATGGGTCACATCATTTTTTAGAGGAGTTGGTTCTTCCAAGGTCAAATATATGTTTAAAAATATTTTAAAGATTTCAAACATTTCATTGCTTGTGCTTGTTGAACTTATGGTGCATGTGAATAAACTAAAAAGGTTTTTTAAATTTCTTGTTTTTTAATTTTTTCGTACCAACCTTTCCAATAAGTTTTGGATATGTTGGTAGAGTTCACATAATATTAATAATATTATCGATCATAATCAATTTTTGTATACTAATATTTCTTTCTAGTAACCCTTAAATTTATGTACATGGTTTATGCTAGTCGCTCTAAATTAATTAAGAGGGATCTTCTTAATCAACTTAGATTAATTTTTGGTATTGTTATTGCTCCTTGCCATGTGGGTAGTGATTTTAATGTGCGTAATTTTTCTAATGAACATTTATGAAGTGATCCTTCTAACATCATAGCTTTAATGATTTTAATGAAACAATTATGAATCATAATAGTTTGGATATTGGTTCTTTTACCTACTAAATTCATCTTTAATGATCAATTGATTAATTAAATTTTCCCTTAAGTTTGTTGAACATCTAAGTAGAATGTCGTCTGACCGCACTACTTTATAGATCACTATCAAAGAGAATACTTGGAAATCATTTTGATTCAAAAACATGTGACTTAATCATTAATGTTTTTTTTTAATTGTGGTTTTAAATTAAACGGCTTACTTAACCCCTAGTAAGAATGTCATTTGTTTAAATTCAGAAGACTAAAACTAGTTTTTACTTAGTGGAATGAAAATCATTTTAAAAATATTTTTTCTATTATTCTAATTGTTGATTAAGAAATTTTTAAATTAGAACAGTAAATGGATAATATAAATTCCATTGTTAATTATATGGATCTTACTAGAGCCAAAGTAAATCTCCTTAAGCTTCAAGAGATGAAAAAAATTTATTAGAAATAATATGCTTCTTGTAAATTTTTGAAGGGATGGGATAAAATCACTACCTATTTTCATTCTTTGTTTAGTAAAAAAATATTATTAATCATATTCACAGAGTTAAGTGCTTTGATTATCGATGGATTGATAATGACCAAGAGATTGCTTATTCTTACATTGATAATTTCACTAATATTATATAAGAATTTAGAAACCTCTCCCTTTCTATTAATAACTCTTTGTTTTCCTCTATTATCACCTTTGAAGATAAACAATCTATTTGGTCTATCCCCACTAAACATAAAGTTAAAAATCTTTTAATGAACATTAATGAAGATGCCATCACTTTAGGCTTATAAAATTTTTCATAGTTTTTAATAAACTTATCACTAAATTATTTTTCTCTAGACTTGCTAAATTTCTCCATAAGATTATTTCTCCCAATCAAAGTGGGTTTGTTAGAGATAAATCTATTTCTACCATTATGCTTCTTGCCTAAGAATTTATCTGTGATTTAGATAATAAAACTCATGCTCACAATGTGGTTATTAAACCAGAAATCTCTAAATCTTATCATAATCTTGAATAAAATTTCTTGATCAATATTTTTTCATTTATCGGATTTGATGATAAAAAATATTTAGTTTATTCAATAATTGTATTAATAATATTTGATTTTCTATGATTATAAATGATAAGCATTATGGTTTTCTAAATCCCTTGAAGGTTTTAGGCAAGGGGGGGCTATTTCTTCTGTCTTATTTATTATTGCGGCTAAATACATGTTGAGGGGCCTTAAAAAACTTTTTATGATAATTAAGTTTGTTACTATAAGACTAAATATCCTTATGAAATTAGCCATCTTAGTTTGCTAATGATTTTATTATATTTTATAATGGTTAAGTTATTTCCATAATCCCATTAACAAGTTCTTAATTTTTTTATGAAAATATTAATGATTTACCTATTAACTCAAGTAAAAATGTTTTATTACTATCAAATCAATTACTCCCATATCCATCAAAATATTAAGAACAAAATTTCAATGTTCAAAATATTGATTTTAAATATTTGAAAATTCACATTTATAAAGGCTCCATTTTTTTTTATTTGACGATATTATCAATTATATAAAGAATAAGCCTTTTACTTGGGAACTTCATTTTATTTCTATGGGAGACTTCATTTTATTTGAAAAATGTTTTAAACTTCATTTTATTTCTATGTTATTTCATTTGTTGTTAATCCCTGTTAGACTTTTCATAATAGTTGTAGTCCTTGGGTTAAATATTTCTAAATTCATATCAATTCTGAAGTATATATTTTAAAATAAGGATAATACTTATAATAACAAAAATATCCATTTTTTATATTTTAAAATAGTGAAGCATAAAATGTGGGTTTGTGAAGCACGTGATGTACTTTAGAGCCCTTTGATCTTTAGCATGGTCATACTGTTTGTTGCCCGTGATACAAAAACTCACATAGCTCACCAAGGCATCCTCGCGAGCAATTCTTGTTTGAGTTTAACGACCAGCAACCAGATCACTCTACGAACAAGTAAGATAAGTCATCAAGGTGAATGAGTAAGCATACAATCATGCAAGAAGCCCACATTTTGATTATTCGAATAAAACACAAAACAATCACAATGGGTGCATGAAAGGGCGAAGCACACATCATGTAAATGAATGCAAAGATGTTGCATGTAACATGACACACACGAACTAGATGTATCGGTAAGACAAACTACGTATAAAAGAGGAATTACACATGCCCAGGGGACCCAAGGAGCCATGCGAAAAGCAAGAATCAACTAAAAGGACACTTATGAAAAGGATTTACATCTTAAACCCTAAACCCTAAGTATGCAGGTAGTTCTCACTCCAGAATTCGTGTGGGGCTTTCATTAACTCTTCGATTTAGTAGAGCGAGAGTCCCCTTTTTAGGAGTCTATCGGGGTCATTCTTCTAAGCAAGAAAAAAAAGTCGGGCAATAGTTGACTTTTCAAACTTACCCCATCTCAGCTTTCATTGAAAATCTCATCAATAAAAGGATAAAAAACCGTGTGCATCTCCCTTCCTCTCCTCTCTTTTAATTGAGAAAGAAGGATTAATATACACTTAATAAATAATTTTCATATTTTTAAGAAAACATTGATGGTGCTGTCAAAAAAGTCATCATCGTGTTTGATTTGATTGGTAAACAAATTGATTGAACATGAACAATTTTTTTTAGCTTGATTTAGAAATGAGGCGAACAGGAACAAAAATTTGTTCATTTGTGTTCGACTCATTTTGGCACGAAATAATTAAATAATTAAATAAAAATATTTATTTACATTCTTTTTATATTAATTTTTATATTTATTTTAAAAATGCTAAATTTTTATTATTTTTAAAATTTATTTTGTTGGTATAATTATAAAATATATAAGCATAAATAAATACATAGAATTTTGGTGGTTGCAATATAAATGTCACAAAAACAACTCATGGAATTGGGAGAAGACATGCAAATAAATATAATATGGGTGGTGTGTATGCAAGTGGTTTGTAAATAATTAAATAATTTGTTTTAATTGAGTTAAAATTTAAGGTGGCTCCTTAAATAGTTAAAGGAGCCAAACACGAGTCAATTCGAACAAATAAGTTTTAATGAAGCTGGACAGCTACTTACGAACTATTTCGAACACGAGCCAAACATGAATAGTAAAAAAATTAGACCGAGTTTGCCAAACACGTACAAGCCTTCAACTCGCCCAAACTCAGCTGATCTACACCCCTACATATATAGATTTTAATTGCTTTGTATTTTTTTCCCCAAATAATAGAAAAACTATATTGTATTTTTAAAATACATATAATATCTCATCAAATACACCCAAGGTAAATAAAAGGATTAAAAATATATTTATATTTTGGGAAATTTCCGATTGGCCGATTGGGACTAAGCACCAACTTCACCGGCCATCATCCTATTTTCTCTATCAGCAAGAAGCTGAGGAGAGAAGAATTGGCAGAAGCGAAGCTAAAAATCGAGACGAAGATGCACGGTTTCTCGAAGATTGAGAAAGATGTGGACTTGGAGGCGGGGACGCTCTACCCCGGCCTGAGTGCCGGCGAGAACGAGCTCCGATGGGGCTTCGTTCGCAAGGTCTACGGCATCCTCGCCGCTCAGATTGTTCTTACCGCCGCCGTGTCGGCCGCTACCGTGATCTACGCTCCCATCAATAATCTCCTCACCGGATCTCCTTCTCTCGCTCTCGTTCTTGCCTTCCTGCCTCTTATCTGTACGATCCTCACATACATACGTCTTTCTCCGATCTGTTTCTCGTTTGTTTTGCGATTTTCCATTTTGGTTTTACATTTTTAACGCTATCAATTGCTTAGTGTTATGTGAGGTTTTGCTGATGTTTGGATTTGTGATCTGAATGTAGATTTTATTGCATATGAAATTCTGTAAGTGTTTGGATTTGTGATCTGAATGAAGATTTTATTGAGCATATGAAATTCTGTAAGGGAAGATAGTTGACATTGAAACTGTGGATTAATCGTAAGAATTATCCCTGTGCAGTCAATTTCATCGCTAGGATGGCGCGATGGCTTTATCACGCTCATTCATGTTATAGCTAAACTAGATTTCTTTTTTAATTTCTAGGGTTACTTTTTCTTGATGGTGAATTGGATGCTTGGGGCGAACGGAGACTATTATTTGAGAGATTGTGATACATCCTAGGATTCCTAATGAATGGTCATAGATCTTGGCCTCAGAAGCTTCAATTAGATTCATTTCTTCGATTTGTTGAAATTCAATATTTTTATTGCATTATAGGAAAGATGCAGTTATATTTAGAATTGTCAATTAAATAACACAATTGCTATATTAATTATTCGATTTCAGTTCTTATTGTATAAGTTGCTAGAGGAACAAAACAAACTAATACATTGGAACTATGTTAGACAAGACACGAGTCAGTAAAAGATGTGGTATCACCTTACTGTCTTTTGAGATAACTAAGAAAAGGAATATAACTGGGATTTTAACAAATGCTTAATTTTTCTATCTTAAACTAAGTTTTATTCATTCATTGCAGCTCAAAGTTCAATGCAATCGAATAGAAGCAGGAAGTTTGCTAGACTTTGTTTTTCTTTTTTTTTTTTTTTATAATAAACTAACTCATACATCCAAATATGCTAGGCCTTTAATACTAGATCTTGTGGTTGGAGACAAAGTACCCAATCACTAGGCCATACGGGCTGCAATATTAGACTTTGTGGTTTTATGAAGATGTAACATCATGATCATTAACTTTATGGAACTAGCCCTTACCCTTTCAAAAAATAAATAGGCATTAGCATTTTGATTGCAATATTGTGCTAAATAATGAATTGTTAATTTGCATGCTTGATAAACCTTTACTTTGATTAATTTCTATAAAGTATTCTACTACTGTGGCTGCTGATTAGCTTATCTGTTTACAGTGATGTGCCCACTTTACCATTACCAACAAAAACATCCACTGAACTTTGTATTAAACTTTGTATTTCTTGGGTTGTTCACTGTTTCCCTCAGCTTAAGTGTTGGTGTGGCTTGTGCAAATACCAAAGGTATACTTCATTGTGGTTATAATTTAGGGAAATTTACATACCCAACACATATTCCTTATGTGTTTACATATCCTACTCCTAAACTTTCATATTTACATACAGAGCACTTTGGTGCTTTAAATCAATACATGAAAATGTGTATTTGACTTTTAAAAAGCCCTTATAATTGAATTTAGGTGTGAGATATGTAAATACATTAGAATTGCGTGCTATGTATGTAAATGCCCATATAATTTAATATGCCTTCATGCATGAGTTATGAATGATTAATATTTTTGTTTATCTTCAATTTAATTGTAGGAATGATAGTACTTGAGGCGTTGATTTTAACATCTGGTGTTGTATTATCGTTGACCGGCTATTCTTTCTGGGCTTCTAGAAAGGGGAAGGATTTTAGCTATCTTGGACCAGCTTTGTTTGCTGGCCTGGTGGTTCTTCTGTTAACAAGCTTTATTCAGGTAATTAGTCTCTGTAAACCAATTCCTTCTCTTCTTCTGGCGCTTTTAATCCAAGTACTACTTTTTTCTGCATTGTTTGTTCTTTAAGATTAATGATTATCGAGATATGTTGAATTTGGAATGTATGGAATATTCTTATTTCATAAACCATCCTAGTTTCTTTGTTGCAGAAATTTAGTCGGTATATCTATATGGTACTCTGTTGATATGTGGCACAGCTCTTAATGCATTTAATCAGGATTGTATGAAACCTGATATCTCGCTTTCTTTTTCATCCTTGTTATTGATAGAAGTTAAATATATAATTATGGTGTGATACACTCATTTTGAAGGAACAAAAAAATTCTAGCATGAACTTTTATGTTTGGCTTGTTTTTGTTGGATGTATGTGTACGCTGAGATTAATTAAGCCATTAATAATTGATTTTAATGTTTTAAAAAGGATAATGTTAATATGAAATTTTAAAATTAGAGAGAATAAACTTTTGAATGGTTATATTAGATTAGGTGGATGCAGCAAGACATGCAACAATGAGATAGGAGATTGAAGTTAGGCTGTACAAGAAAGAATGAAAGCGCAGTAGACTAAAGATAATATTGCTATGCAAAATGATAAACTAGAATGAACATTGTATCGATCATTAACTCTAAAGAAGAATTCATTTAGCTGGCCTCAAATTTTGATATGGCTGCTTATGCTGATGATTTGATATGCATAGTTTTATTTGGTTCTATTGATTGTTGAGACCCACATGGAAATAATAATTTGTTTCACATTGAAAGTGAAACAAGACTTGACTCCCCCTTTCTCCCCCTCTCTCCCACCCTTCCCCTTTCCACCTTCCCCTTTCCCCCTCCCCTCTTCCCCCTGTTTCTTATCCACATGAGCCTTTGTTACTGATTTTTTCTTTGGACAAACAAGACTGTTCCTGAATTTCAAGCTTGTGTAGCATGAACATATTGGAACTCCTTGATGCTCATGTTCGCAGTACAGTGTTGAAAATTAGAATATCAATATGCATTTTTTATTTTTGGACAATTAATATATTTCTCCGAATCAAAGTTTGTTGCAGGATTTTGAACCTTTTTCTAAGCTTATCTTGGTTGCTGGGTCGAAATGAGTATTACAAACATATATTTTTGGTTTGTGGTAAGCCATGCAAGGTTTCCTTTCTATATATTTACCCAAAAAACGTAAATGGGTTGAGCACATTATTCTGTGGCTTTGCACCAACAATATTACCAGGTCACAAAAATGGTTAAGCATAGCCTATTTGCTCAAGAGGATTTTTATGCTTAGGCCAAGATCTAAGTTTCAATTAATGCACCTAGTACAAGTAATATTTTTTGTGTACTAATAATAACTTTCCTCTAAAAAATAAGTCCTTATACCAATAAACTTAAAAGGCATTTTTTGGATTGAATGTATTGGTTTTGGAGTTTAGGTTTTATACAAGCTTGAAATTTAGGATTTATTTGTAGAAAGCCAGTCCTTATTGAACAATGACATTGGGCATAATGTTAACAAAGGTGGAGGTGGAAATGATAATGAGAGTTTGATATGAGATGCCAAGCCGGCTTTCTTTCTGTGGAAAAATGAGAGTTAAGAAATTGGGAAGTTCTCTTGGGTCTAATTAATTTATATATCGATGATTCCCCCAAAAAATACTATTATGGTGGAGCAGAGATTTCTACTGTTGAGAAAGAGGGAGCCTTGTGTCTATTTTTGGTATATTAAAGTGTTATGGGATTTTGGTGGTAAGTTCCTACCACTTGAAATGATTCACCACACTAATGTGACTTTTCCAAGTCAATTATGTGCTTTTGCATTGCCAAGTTAGCAAAGGGCCTCCAAATGAATACCTCCTATTGAGAAGCCCTTTCACTTGAGAATATTCAATACTATTAGCAAGTGTCTAGCAAGTTACTTTGTCAACGTGGATCTGTCACTTTAGGATGAGGGTTGCAATATACTCTCATAGAAGGTTAATGATATAAAATGCTCCTTGGTTGGAGCGAAGAAAAAATTTGTAATATATTCTTAAAGTTGATTCAGGATGAGGAAGCACATATTCATTTATAACAAAGTGAAACTGAATGAGAGGACTATTATTGAGCTAGATAAGGAAGTGATAGGGATGGCTATCGGAGAAATTCAATATTCTAGAAGAGAACGCCCATATTGAATTGGATCAATGCATATGATTGATATTCATTGCCTCTAGAATGCAGTTTATATCTCTTGACTCAATCTTAGTGATGGACTTCAGGAAGGAAAATGTAATCGGGGAACTAGTTTCTCACTTTAAATCCAAGTGGTTAGCATATGAGATCATTGATGTATGGTTGCTGTAAATCTTTTGTAATACTATTACTGTGGAGATTAATGCTAATCATGCTACTAAATAACCTTTAGTGAACCTGGTGATAGGGGTACGTATTAAGAAACATTTGTTTATCTGGTCGTATTCATGATGGTTTTGCTATATCATTATAAGAAGATTATTGGAACATTATTAATATATAGATATGCCAGGGAGTGAATCGCTTCTTTCCTGATGTCCTTCACTAAGGTTGAGTCAAGAGATATAAACTGCATTCTAGAGGCAATGAGTATCAATGATATGCAATTGCGGAACTAGTTTCTTTCCTGATGTCCTTCACTAAAGTTGAGTCAAGAGATATAAACTGCATTCTAGAGGCAATGAGTATCAATCATATGCAATTGCGGAACTAGTTTCTCACTTTAAATCCAAGTGTTTAACATTTGAAATCATTGATGTATAGTTGTTGTGAATCTTTTGTAATATTATTACTATGTAGATTAATGCTAATCATGCTACTAAATAACCTTTAGTGAACCTAGTGTTAGGGGCACGTACTAAGAAACAGTCATTTATCGGCTCTTATTCATGATCATTTTGCTATATCATTATAAGAAGTTTGTTGGAACATTAGCAAGATATAGGTGTGCGAGGGAGTGAAACACTCATTTTACTAGGATAAATATCATACTACTGGAAGGGCATACATGGCACTAATATTGTTGAAAATAAAAAAACTCCAGTATGGGCAATCATCCGCCATGAAATTTAAGTTTTTCCTTAATTGGTTGCCGAATAAACATGTATTTATCAATAAATAAGTAATCTTATCCCATCAATAAATCCTTTTACTTAATACTTAAGAAAAAAATAAGAAAATTTAGAAAGAAGTGTAGACATAATATATTTGCCCACTTTCAAGAAAGTGGCTAGTTTGGCCTTTGTTACTAACATTCAAAATGACAAACTTTCTTTAGCCTAATCAATTTAGGCAATTAATTCCCTATGACTCAGACTACAACATCTTTTGCTAAAATCCTTGACAGATTGAAGTCCTAGTTGTTTCCCTGCAAGGGCAAGCCGGTTTGGTTGTAATTTTTACCGGCTCTTTGAGTAGCATATATTGTGCAACAACCTAGTAGAAACAACAAATTCGTGATTGTTATCTGGGATATTGAGCAAGGTTATGATATAGACATGGCAAGGATCCCTAACCTGATGTCCTGACTTCAAAAAGTCTCTCTTAAAATTTATTTAATTGACTCTTGCCTGGTGTCAATCTATATTGACCCCTCTTCCATTCACTTTTTTTATGTTTTCTGATAATAGCAATTTATAATTTAAAGCAAAAGTTCAGGAGGGTTGCATTGTACAAAACATTATCATTGCCTAACTGACCAAGCATTCAATTGAAGTTAATTGGCTGCTTGCTCCAAATTTAATTTATTTGTTGGAGGAAGCAGAGCTTGTTCAAGATCCTTCGGGTGCAAGAGCACAGATAACATACATGCTTAGCCTGTCAATGCAAGCAATTAGGTTGTTCACTTTTTTAGTCGATTTGATGATTCTTTACTTCGAAATTTGAAGATAAATTGCCCTCTTCTTATCCAGTTAACTCATGCGGGCGAATTTTTCTCCGGCTTTATGTGTTATCTACTTCCCCGTTCTTCCCACTCGCTAGAGATCATCAAGCATATGCTTATTCCTTCACCTTCTTATGTTTCGTCATTCGTTTTTGCATGATGAGAGGGGCATGAAATTAACCCTTTGTTGTTGAACTATTCTTCTTTGACTGGGATGGTCTGATGAAGTGACGGAGTGTCACCATATTGTGAAGATCGGACCAGAAATTAAACTGGAAGGAGATTAAGTTTCAATAAAGTTGAACCAAACTGGATGAAGTAATGAACATTAAAATTATTATAATATGTTTTATATCATATAAGAATAATATTTTCAATATTCTAATTTTCACTCTTATATATTATAAATTAATTTTTTAAAATAAGATAGCTTAATTCTACTCTATTTTTAATCTAAAACTTCTAGCCGTCTGATCAAACTCAAAATATGAAACCAATTAGGTTCGCCAGTTCAACTCCAATTCTAGTTGGTTTTATGCGGACGCTTTTTTACGCCTAAAATCGAACCAACCAATGATTGGTTCAGGATTGAATACATACACTAAAATTTGTATACTCTACAAGTATAATTCATTCTCTCCAAGTTACCAACTGCAAATCATTTTTTTGTGTAATGAGGTTCGATTAAACAACATTTGCAGATTTAACCTTTAGCACCTACCAACCTCAATGCAACCATATTAAACTGACATCTGCCATCATTATGTGATTCAAAACTTACTATTCATACAAGCTCATCATGCATTGTATGTACTGAAACCTCAATGCAACCATATTAAACTGACATCTGCCACCAGTATGTGATTCAAAACTTACCATTCATACAAATTCATGCTTTTTATGTTACCGTAACTGCAGATGTTCTTCCCACTTGGACCAACCTCTGTTGCCGTATTCGGCGGGCTTGGCGCTCTCGTCTTCTCGGCCTTTCTCATCTACGACACCGACAACTTGGACAACTTGATCAAGCTGATCAAGCGTTATACCTACGACGAGTACATCTGGGCCTCGGTTGCTCTCTATCTTGATGTCCTAAATCTCTTCCTCTCCATCCTGAACCTTCTGAGAGGCATGCAGTCTGATGGCTAGTGGAGCCCTCAGAAGAAAAATAACTGGTTGCATGTAGGTTAAAAAGGTCTAAACTTGACTGAAATTTAAGACTGTTTTTAACAAATCTGTAAGTGCATTGTGTGTGAATGTCTGATTAAGTGAGGTGTATTATGGAAAGTTTGGTATTTTAATGAGTTTTTGTGTCTGTCACTTTCATTTCCAGAATGAATTAAACTGGTTTTTGCGTTTGTGTGAATTTCCACAGGATTTTTTTTTTTTTTTTTTTTAATGTTCAACACTTGTGTTAATGGGGGATTTACATACATACCATATAATTGTATAAATAATGATATAAATCTTATTATTTAGATGTATAACACTTTATTTTCATACATCATATTAAAAGGTACCAATTGCATTTTTTTTTTATGTGAAATATATCTTTTCATGCATATATTTTGATGTGATTGTAACACTAAATTGCTATATAAATAAATATTAAAATGTAGGTGTTAAATGCATAAATACATAGAATTATATGATATGTATTTAAATCTCTTTTTTTTACTAGATTATGAAAGTAAGTGTGAAATGGATGTCCATTAAAATTGAATTCAGGATGAGGTTGAATTACAAGATGTCATTTAGCAATGACAAGAGATTGATGTTTAGAACCTTTTGGTTCCAGTTGATTTGTTAAATTGTCATAAGTTTTTTTTTTTTTTTTTTATCTCAGATAAATCCTCAGACACAATTTATAATGTAGTATATGTAAAGTTTAATTGCTTTATAAAACTATTGAGAAATAAATATGTGAAAAAATTGCTCCAAATTAGTGGTCTCAATTCGGGTCGGGTTCAAGTCAGCCAGAAACCAATATGTCCTCGGGTTGGCAAGTCAATTTCAAATCTATTTAGGGTTTAGATGTTAGTTTGAACTTGTTAAAATTATTACATCTGGAATCTGGACGCAAGCTGTGTTCGGACAACAACTGTGATTCACCGGAGGTCGTTTTTTTTTATCCTCTGCGCCCTCCTGCGTCCTCCGGTGGATTGCAACAGTTTTGCAGACGCAGCTTTCATCCGGACTCCGGATGTAATATTGTTTTCTGAACCCGACCTAAAAGGCCAAACAGAGGGTTAGGATCCTTAATGCAAGCCTACCCAAATATTATTCGGGTCAAATTGAATACGAATTTTACTAGTCGGATTGAGATCAAGTTGGCGCGTCATATCAATTTTTGATACCCATACTCCAGTTGAACCCTTTATTTTTTAGTGGGGATTTAATTTTTGATTGGTCAAATTAGCTTCAAATTCTATTTTAACCGGCTTGACACAATTGAGTTCGTCTTATTCAAATCGATTATATTTTTCATACATATATATTCATTAAAATAAAATGTAAAATGAGTATACTTTTTCTAACAGGGCTTGACACATTAAAAATATCACTATTATTTATTTTTTAAATGTGAAATATATTATCATGCAAATGCTTATGAGCCCAAAGCTTTATATGTATAAATATGAAAGTTTAGGTGTTAGGCATGTAAATACATAAGAGTTGTGTGGTATAAATTATGTCTTTGACATGCTAAATATTATTTTATATACCTTCCAAAAAAAAAGATTAAATTTATTGGTATTTCTTTCTCAATATATGAAGCTTGCACTCAAAGATTTTTAGTTCCAAAAATCAAAATGTCCCATAATCAATTTATCAAGTTACTTAATTCATTAAAGGAAGATCTATATGCATATCATTCAATTCCTATGTATCCACATATCTAGGACCTATAATTTAATTTCTACATATATATCATTTTCTCTATGTATGAAAGTTGTATTCATATTTTAGATGTGATATGAAAGATTGGTATAAAGTATAGGCTTGTTATGAGTCTGAACTGTCAGAGTCTAGATTTCTCTAATGCTACTGATAGGTTTCCTCTCTTAGTTATGTTTGAAATATTTCAACATTTCTTTGGGAGGTCGTACTCATCTGCTGTTGTCAATTCTACATTGGCAACCAATTCTTTGACAGTCTCTTTCTGTCGAAAGAATAAGAAGGGAATCTTGTCTGGTGTATCTTTTGTAGCAGGACAACCTCTGGGTTATCTGGCCTCTTGGTTGCTAGACACATAAATAGTAAAGTTTAGGTGTTAGACATGTAAATACATAGGAAATGGTTGCTATGTACATAAATGTGGCTTAGCATTACAAATATTATTTAAACACAAAGAACTCAAATCTTTAATATCACATCAAAAATAGAACTTTTATCACTTTTTAAAAGTGAAATACACCTTTTTCATGCATAAGTGCTACATAAGTAAATATGAAGCGAAGCTGGAGTCAAGGAACTATGTTGCAAACTGAAAGAGCCCTGATATCTTGTTGTCATCAGCCCACCAAAAAAAATAAAAAAAAAAAAAAAAAAAAAAAATTTACATTCATACCACCCAATTCCTATATACTTGCATATCTTTTTTTACATATTTACCATCCAAATCTTTCATATCACATAGAAAATTGAGGTCTGGGTGTTGGATATGTTAATACATAGAAACTGAGTGGTACATATGTAAGACTTCCAAAAAATTAAAGAAAATAATACATAAAAAGCACTCACCAAGCACATATATTAGCAGGAACGTTGTGAAGTCCAAGCCAATTTGAAGCCACAATTCAAAACTCTGTCTATGCTTTGCTTTCAGTTTTTAGTTGTTAGAGCAGATTTGTTAATGTGTAGTATCTGTAAGAATGTTGTATAAACACTTTTAGGAAAAAAATCAAAGCACTCAAAACCTTGATTTTTAAAAAAACTAGCATTCCCTTTCGTCCATTTTTCAAATTCTCACTCAAATATCCAAAATCATAATAAAAACTCCACCAAAATTTTTCATTTTTATCAAATTCCCAACAGTTTGATGGTGGCATGTGTAAATGCGCCGATTCGATAGTTCAAAAAGATGATTTGGGTGCTGGTTTTGCAAATAGCAATGTTTCAAGAGCACGGCATGCAACTATCCCAAAAATAAAATATGTATAATATTGACAACTGCTTTAATAAAAAAATTCATTTCTGGTGAACAGCTTCGCAGCTACCTCACTCAAATATCCAAAATCATAATAAAAACTCCACCAAAATTTTTCATTTTTATCAAATTCCCAACAGTTTGATGGTGGCATGTGTAAATGCGCCGATTCGATAGTTCAAAAAGATGATTTGGGTGCTGGTTTTGCAAATAGCAATGTTTCAAGAGCACGTTATGCAACTATCCCAACTACCTTTGTAAATAACTTATACCTGTCCCAAACAAACCCTAAGTCTACACATGACATCTAACCTTAGACTCATTAGCCTCAATCTTGGTTTAAAACACTTATTATAAGTTTGCTAATCATAACGTGGACAAGAAATTAGGATGCTTCTTAACCAGAATGAGAACTTGAATTAGTACAATTCCAATTTAAAATCATAATTAGCAATCATATCACTTCCAATTAAGAATACAAATAAAACGCCAGAACACGCCCATACATTTATATTTTACATTTTACATTTTACATTATTTCATACGACTATAATACTTTTTAGTCTTAAATAACCGGCCATGTTCATTGTCAACCATGAGTTGTAATATGTAGCTGCATTTACACCCAATTCCTATGCATTTACACATCTAACACCTACACTTTGTTTCTAATATTAATACCATCCAAATTATTCATCACACTAAAAATGTGGAAGATTTACATTCCCAAACAACAATTGATCCATTACACTTAACATTTTGTCCCACTAAACATCGGGTTGATACACAATTATTGACTTATTTTGTCGCCCACATACCATTTAGCCTTCACGCTAGTTTTATATAGGCTAACAGAACCTTGTTAATGGATAAATCCTTCAAACAAACAACTAAGCCACAAAGATATGCACTAAAATACAAACAATGTTACTAAGAGAAAGCCTCTTTATGTTCTCATTTTATGCATCCAAATCCAAAACAAAATTAAAATAATTGATGACAATAATTCTGTTGCACCATCCAAATTGGATCAGTCAAACAAAAATTTCTCTATAAAACAAGCTCATGCCTCTAATTGATGTGCGCAAGCATTTTTGCGAACTTAGATATGCCTTCTTCATATTGGCTAATTCAAGACAATTGTGTTACCATGACTAAATAGGTGTATTTTCCTAATACAAGATTACTACATCATGTAAAAAGAAAATTATATGAAGGAAGAACTAAACCAAAAATGTACATTGCATTAGTCACCTAATGCAAAAATCTTTTTATCACCCATTGTAAGGCATCGCCACTCCAATCATTGGACTTAACTATATTATCCTACTTTTAACGGTGCTTAAAAAAAAGCATCTTTGTGCTCAAATGATTTGCATATTGGTTGGAAACAAAATGAAAAATCCCAAGATGCTAGGTTCAAGTGCTCAAACCCGCCTCTAATTGATGTGTGCAAGCATTTTTGCGAACTTCGGTATGTACTCTTCATATTGGCTAATTCAAGACAATTGTGTTACCATAACATCCAGAGAATTTTCCACTACAACAGATCCTGCAATCACGCTCCTATCCATCCGATTCAGAAACAAAAGAGCTCTAGAGCCCTGACCATGTTCGTGGATGATGATATCAAGGTTTTCATGAAAGAAAGAGATCAAAAAACCAAAATTTTCCACTCAGAAAAAAGACGTCCAGAGATAAGATACTTGAAATTCAATTTATTAAGAAGCAAGGATGATTATGCACATTAAAATTACATTGTAATCGAATGGTAATTTCCAGTATAAAACCTAGAAATGAGCGAGACATAAGATAGATAGAGGAAAGCCAAAGTTATGCAGACGCTTTTATACCTACATACCAAGGCTTCACCTGCCATCATCACCTTCAAAATTAACTTCTTTTGTATACTTGTTCAAGGATCGGCAGGCTAATCATCATCTTCAATATCCCAAGTAAGATCCTCGACTTCTTCCAATCTTTTGTGGAGATCCACTCTATTCGTTGTTGAACTGGTTCTACCTACTTTCTTCTCATCGTGCTCGCCAAGATCCTCAATCTCATCCCATCCAAGATCTTCTTCCTCTGGCATAGAGGTCTGGCTTGACACGATAGATATGTCGCTATCTTTGCATGATCCCGCAGGCTCAGATTTTTCATACGGGAGTACCTTATCAGTCCCGCAGGCTCAGATTTTTCATACGGGAGTACCTTATCAGCTGACTTGGTAGTTAATCCCTTGCTGGCTGGTTCTGCATCATCCACTGCTCCAACAGAAGGTGCCGCTATTTCATTATCAGTCGCAGTAGTAAACTTCAAGATCAAATCTTCAGGTACCGCATCAGGTTTCTTCTCCTGCGCAAATTGAATTCCATCGGTATCAACCTTCTCCTTCCTCTCCACTGCATGTTCTACCTGACTGCTTTCCCCGTCTACCGTTTTTGCTTTATCATCTTCTTTAATTTCTTCATTTCTTTCGTCTTCACCATCCTTCTCTGCCAGCTCCTCCTCCTTCCCCTCCGCATCATCGTCATCAACCTCCCAGGTCAAATCCTCCTCGTCCTCCCTCAAGATTGCCCGCTTAACGAAATTGGCCCTGACATCCTCCGCCTGCTTGAGCTTATAAAACTTGTAAAAATAACGTGTCCAGAATGTGTCATAATCCAAAACAGAAGGCACGAGCTTCTCAAAAAGGTCTTCTAGAGTTCCATTGTCATAGCAAAGAGTCTCAATCTCCTCCTCCTTCCCCTCCAGCTTGAACTCAGACATCCATTTGAGGAAATCTTCTGCGTCCTCCGGCTCCTCAGAAAAAGTATTGGGATCTGACTGCATCGCCAAAACCTGTGCCTCAAACCGGCTGTACCTCTTCGATGCCGACGCAGCGACGGCCGCGGAGGCAGGATTCTGGAGATCGGAGGAATGCGTCTCGGCGTCAGAGTCAGCGGAGAGGAGAGCATCCTTACCCTCAGAGATAATCTCCGCCGTTCCGCGCCACACGGATCCACCAAAATCGTCGATGGCCTGTCCAACAGACTCCAGAGACTCCTGTGCCACCGAAGCGCCAACCTCCAGCGAGGACGGTAGATCGCGAACAGCGCGGGCGGCGACCTCCCGGATCGCCCCCCGCTCCCTTTTCCAAACCGGACATGGAGTATTCTGCTTAAGATTAGAATAATCTCTCGGCTCGGAATCGGCCACCGTCACTGCAGTAGTTTCAATCTCTCCTTTCTCGTCGTCTGGCCGACTATGGGGTGCAGCGGATGGGGGTTCCTCATCTGAGGAAGCATCAGAACGGTCTGGATCACTCGAGAACACTGATTTGAAGAAATTCATGACAAGCAGTTGGTTTATTAGGGTTAGGGTTTTGGAAAGAGAGAGATTGGGGGATCGGACATGCAGCGGATGGCATCCACGGTGGGGAGGCAGAAGAGAGGAGTCGGTGTTGAAGATAGGCTGGAGGTAGGCGGGTCTTCTTTACGTGCACTAGAGAAAAGGACCACAAAAAGTGACTCGAGTAGTAATTGACTCGGCAGCTGACAGGTAATGACTAATGATGATGTGGCATAACAGAATTTTGGCACGTGCCACAAAGAATCGACTAATGGGTACGGTTGATTTAGAATAAAATTATGAATGAAACTTGGCGTTCGGCGTGGAGGATGAGCGATGGTGATTTAGAATAAAATTATGAATGAAACTTGGCGTTACTTACGGCGTGGAGGATGAGCGATAATTCGGCGTGGAGGATGAGCGATGGATTTCCCCATAATTTAGGATAAAATAATTTAAGCAAATCATTTAAGAAATTATTAAATTCAAGGGGCATTTACTTCCTATATGTTTACATTTCTCACATCTTAATTTTACTTTTCTATATTAAGGCCACTAAAATCATTCATAACATATAAAAATATCACTATTTTAGATATGAAATACGTATCTTGTCATAATTAAGATGTATGTATGTTTGTGTGTGTGGGTGTCTATATATGTATGTATGTATATACGCCGCGTATTCAGATCAGTTGGTCGGGCATCAGCTTGTCAATTATAAGTCCCCTCTGGTCTAGGGTTCACAATTGTAGGGTATGATACTCGAATTCTTAGACTCATGAGGGATGGTCGAGGCTTATATAATAGTCAGCGGTCATTCTTTTAATAGAACATATTTGAAGTTTAGGCATTATATATGCAAATACATAAAATTGAGTGGTATGTGCGTGTATTGACAGAAAATTAAAACTTCTATTAAGGGTCAAAAGAAATCAATTACAAAAGATGAGCTCTAATAAAAGAAAGATTTAAGATATCCTTATCAAGTAAAAATTACAAAAAAAAGGAGAAAAAAGAGTATCCGACGAGACAAGTTGTGAGGAGGCACCCTCTCCAGCTAGCAAATTTGTAGCTTGGTTTCCTTCCCTGTAAATATGAGTCCATTTGATAGTCATTTCCCTTAAAAGGCAAAGAATTTTCTCCATGACAAGTTGTAGATGCCAGAAAACTGCCTCATTTCTTGTGCAATAGTTCCACAAAGTTAATGAATCCATCTCAACATGTAATATGGACCATCCCAATGATTTTGCCACCTTGACCGCGACAAGAACAATATCAGCTTTAACAAAGATATGTGATTTAACCACAGAATGAGAAGAGAAGAAAACAACACAGCAACCCTCAGAGTTTCTAAAGGCACGACCAATATCATTAGTATACTCCCTAAAACTACCATCAGCATTAGTCTTGATTCAATCTCTACTAAAATTTTTCTAGTAAACTAGTTAAGGAAGAAGTTTCGAAGACTGACAAATAAAAATGTAGATTCTCTTGAGGTAATCACTAAGCTTAGCTAAATTTTTGTGCTTCATCTTGACAAATTTGACGCCTTATACGGATAAGATATTATGTGAAGGAATGTACTGTCAGTGCTTTCAACTTAGTTATCATGTTTCAGATTGTTCCGGCAATTCAGAAGAAGCAGGAAGTAATCACAGGAATAACATTGTAAAAATAATTAGCAAATTTTCTCCAATCATCCAAACAATCCCCAAAGAAGTTATAGCATGACACAAGAATCTCTAATTTGAAAAGATAACTAAATCTCCTTCAAATCTCCAAAGGAACCCACAAGATAGCAAAATGTGATTAAGAGAATCCTCCTCAAATGGAATGTTATCTCAGACCTTTCAATTTTAAAATTTCATCAATAGGAATGATTCCATGCATCATCCTTCAAGTAAAAAATGAAAGGGAATGCTTCAGAAGAGGGGACCAAATCTATTTAGATCACCAACAAAAGAAGATCCTGAAAAGAGAGATAAATAGCTTTGGAAATGGAATGACCAATATAACCTTTCACCAAACTTCTATTTTTGGTTGCATGGTTGAGGGGAATTTACAAACTTCTAATGCATGAATATACAACAAATTTTGAATTTTAGGAACATCCCAGTTCTGGTCCTCCCAATAGTTAGCAAAAATTAAATTAATGCCCATCCATATGAATGAGTCAAAGGGCCATGAGAAGTGTTGCCAACATACCAGAAGCTAGGTTACCATCACTTACTTCACATATCATAAATTGTTCAATAGTATTTTTACATTTAAGTATCTTTTTACATATAACAAAATTAGTTGGTTAGGCAGTACTAAATAAAGGATGGGCATCTCCAGTATTTAGCTTACATAAGCTTATTCCACAAGAAATCCTTGAATCTATATTTAATCAACAGCTTCATGAAATTGATTTTCATATAGTTAAGAATAGATTGTTTTTGTTCCTTCCTATTTTTATTTTTAAATGAGTCGTCGATTTTTTTATCTTTGTATATTTCTGTTTTTCAAATAAGTCTCTCATATGGATAATGTGAATAATTGGAAGAAGTGAGGAAGTAAAAAAGCAAGACATACGACAAAGACAGACAAACAAGAGAAAGAATGTGGAGAACTTTCATACGGATGACACGCCTTAAGATTACTTATTTTTATATGTGTATTTCATGTACGTTATTAAGAACATTGCGCTTTAATGAAAAATATTTTGTGTGTTTATCATTTGATGTACAAGAAAAGGAGTTTAAGAAAAAAAAGGAGCAAAAATAGAGCAAAATGGGTTAAATGAAGCCAAAGAACAAAAAAGTTGACCTAGCTCCTTGACGCCAGGATCTTCTAGAAGCTCAGTGCTTAGGCGCCACTGTTGGGTGCCTAGTCCCCAGAGACGGTTATGCATATATTCATTGAATTTAGACGAATTTCAAAAATGTGCCTGAAGTGAAACTTGATTATTTTCATAACTTTATATATATAAAGCATTTCCATAGTCCAAGAAGAGAGGAGGAGAGGAAAGTTATTTTTTGGTAAGTTAGATCACCATTAGAGTGGTTAGCCACCATAGTGAGAGTCTGGTGATTTGAGTGTTTGTTGAGACTTGTGGAGTCAAGTTCAATCAGGAAACTACAGAAGATTGCCTTGGGGAAAAATTTGAGATAAGTATTTGTACTTTTATTTAAGTTTTGTTTTGTAAACTTGGTTTTTAATATATATCATATTTTATTTTGTTATCCCCATGAATTCTGAGTAGCTTTCTTTTTTTTCCTTGTAATAAGAACTAATCATGTGTGGGGTTATAATGTTTTGAATATTTCTTTTATTCCAAAATTTTGTGATGATATTTTCACCGGTTCTTAATTTGCTTTGCAAACTGTCCATTTGTGATGTTAAAATTAGTTGTGAAACATAATGACCTAGGAGGACTATGATTTCACCTAACTACGGAATACCACACTAAACCTTGGATGGAGGGGATGTCACATCCAAGGGGGAGTGCGAATACATAGGGAGATAAGTATTGATGGGCGCAAAATTGATGATTCTAGAGTGATCGGCTAGAACCCTTTTCAATTTGTTATTTAGTTCGGAACTTGAGGCATGGTTGGTCATATAGAGAAGACAGTGGGTAATCTGAAAGTGAGAGGCTAGAATCTACTCAGCACAATCATATCAATTTGGAACTTAACTTTGTATTAACTACTCAGCACAATCATATCAATTTGGAACTTAACTTTTTATTAACTAATGTTTATGCACTCGTAAGAGGGTAAATAATAGGTATGCTCATATTTTTCACAAAACCTCATTTGCATCTTTAGGCATTTAATTCCTTCACTGACTATAATCTCTTTACAAGGGAAAATAATTTTATTATAATCTTAATTCTTTAAACATCTGTAGTTTAGAAAATTTACATATACTTTTATCTTTAATTTCAAATTAGAAAACTTTAGTTTATGCTCTTTTACAAACAGTTCATTATTATCCTCCTGCAAATTTTGTTTATAGTTTAAGTATAAATATTTCTAAATTTATATAGAAATTCACTTATTTTTCTTATTTACTTGTTTTTGGCTTTCCTGTAGGTTCGATATTGAGATTTTTAAAGAAAAATTTATATTACTTGAAACGATATGTATACTTGCATAATACCTCTAGTGTGTAAGTCATTAATCAATTTTATAACATATTTATTTTGTACAGTAGTCGCTAAATATAAATTGGGTCAAGTTTTTTACTATCTTTCTGAGGTTAATTAATTGTGTAATTGTGGGTTGGGTTAAATTTTTGGCATCGTTGCCGGATAATAACATTATTTTTAACGTAGAAATTTTTATTTGATTGTAGATTTATTGTAGGAGAATTGCATTTTAATTTCCCTTTATCAGTATTTATTAATTTCTTAAAAAATATAAAAAAAGAAAAATAAAATAAAAATATATTTTTATTTTAAGTGTTTTGTTTCGTTTTTTTTCTGATTTTTTAATTTTGCATTGGTAGTTTGGGATCTGAAAATAGCTTACGAATCTGGGTTAGAAAGAATCATAAGAAAAATTTGAAAACAAAAAGAAGTTCATAATTCTATAGAAATGTCAAACACTCACAAAATAATTTTGAAAATAAAACTTTTGAAAATGAACATCATAGTATACGACGACCTTTAAGGAACTATGTGAACCCTATAGCAAATGAAATTCACTTAACTATACAAACCCCTGTTGTAGTGGTTAACTCATTTAAACTTAAACAAGTTATTATTCAAATGGTACAAAAAAATCAATTTGGGGAACACCATCTGAGGATCCAAACTTACACCTAACAAGTTTTCTAGAACTATGTGCGACATTTAAATATGATGACGTACCAAACGACACTGTTAGACTTAGACTTTTTCTTTTTTTCTTAAGGGATAAAACTAACATGTGGTTAAAATCATTAGCAAATGGATCTATTAGAACTTAGGGAGAATTAGCACAAAAATTATTGGCTAAGTATTTTTCACCTTC